AGGAAGTGGACGGAGGAGACCAGAGGGGAGACGACGTGAGGACTTTGCTTGGGAACAGGCAGGACAGGATAACACAAAAGAGCGCACATTCGGGTTTAATGTGGGCCACTAGAACTGTGCGCAAACTAATGAAATAGTCTTAGAAAAACCAGGATGACAAACTAGGTGGGAACTGTGGCAAAACTTGAGGACCTCCTGGACAAACTCAGGGGTACAAATAATCAGTCAGGGGGATGGGCGGTTGGAGGAGGGTGCAACTGGTTGGCCTGTCATAGGTCCAGCTCCAGTTGAGTGACAGCCAGGCAGGCAGAGTTGGGAAGGATAAACTCCCCGGCAGAAGGAGCGAGGATCAAGAATCCTCCTCATTGATGCAAGAGAGGGAATCAGGTTTTGTGCTCTTGTGACCAAGTCTATAGGTGAGGGCAAAGTTAAAAACGGGAAAAGAAAAGTGCCCATCTGGCTTGTCGAGGGTTGAGGCGTTTGGCCGACTTAAGGTACTCAAGGGTTTTATGGTTGGTCCAAACCTGGAACTGGATGCCCTCCAACCAGTGACTCCACTCCTCCAGCGCCAGCTTAACAGCGAGCAGTTCACGTTCCCCAACATCATAATTACGCTCAGCTGGTGATAGGCTTCTGGAGAAGAAAGCACAGGGATGAATAACTCCTTCCTTATCCTGTTGGCCAAGTACTGCCCCCACACCCACACTAGATGCATCTACTTCAACAATAAATGGTACCTCTGGGTTGGGGGTATGGAGGACAGGGGCAGAAGAAAACAAGGTTTTTAATTTTTTTAAATGCTGCATCAGCTGCCTCTGTCCATAGAAACTTCTTCTTGGAGGAGGTGAGAACATGGAGGAGGTTAGCAATGAGGCTATAATCTTTAATAAATCTCTGGTAGAAATTAGCAAACCCCAAGAACCTCTGCAGTTGTTTCCGGTCTTTGGGTACTGGCTAGTCTAGTACTGCAGACACCTTGTCATTACTCATCTCAACTAAATTTGGTGAAATCTTAACAGAGAAAAGATGTGGAGGACTGGTGGAAATCGCATTTTTCCAGCTTTAACAAATAAATTATTTTGTAACAACTGGGTGAGAACAGATCTGACATGTTTTTTTGTGTGAAGTTAGGTCCTTGGAGAAAATTAGAACATCATCCAGGTTAACAAAAACAAACTGATTTACCATGTCCCTTAGGACATCATTGACCAGAGACTGGAACACAGCTGGGGCGTTGGTCAAACCAAAAGGCATGACCAAATATTCATAATGACCATTGGGTGCGTTGAAGGCCGTCTTCCACTCATCTCAGATGGTACGCATTACGAAGGTCAAGCTTGGTGAATACTGAAGCGCCTTGGATGAGGTCAAAGGCGGATGACATTAATGGAAGGGGGTATTTGTTTTTTATGGTTATTTTGTTTAACCCCCTATAATCTAAGCAGGGCCTTAAGGATCCATCCTTCTTCCCCACAAAGAAGAAACCAGAGCCTGCTGGAGAGGTAGAAGGCCTGATGATGCCGGCTTGAAGCGAAATCTTGATGTACTCCTGCATGGCTTCTTGCTCAGGAGTTGACAGAGAGTACAGGGCTCCTTTAGGGGGTGTAGAACCAGGAACCAAGTTAATAGGGCAGTCACAAGACCTGTGTGGTGGTAAAGAGGTGGCTTTGACTTTATTAAAAACCTCCTTTAAGTCATGGTACTCCTCTGGGACTTTAGAAAGATCTGGTTAAGTATCTTTAATATTGTTCTTAGGCATGGAGGAAATGACTGCATCACAAAGACAAGATGACAAACAGTTATCGGACCAACCCACAATCTCCTTCTGTTGCCAGTTAATATGTGGGTTGTGTTTTGAGAGCCATGTGGCCCCTAGGACCACAGGAGAGTGGGGTGATTTGATAAAAAAAAAAAAAAACTGCAATGTCTCTTTGTGATTACCCCCTATGGTTAAAGTCACTGGTTCGGAGATTAAGAGGGTGACCATCTAAGGCAACAATAGACAGTGGTTTAGGAGATTTAAACAGTTTTATTCCTCATTCTTGGGCAAACTGAAGGTCCATGAACTCAGAGTCGGCCCCTGAGTCAATGAGTACTTTAATAGGGGTGCAGGTCTTACCAGAAATAGACAGCTCAGCTGGAAACATGAAGGGTGAGGGGATTACTGGATTCTGGGTCTGACTCAGCAGGAGTCTCCTCTTCTCTGCCGAGTCTGGCCCTTTAATGGACAGTTAGAGATGTTGTAAGAGTCCTAGCCACAGTAGAAACACAGCCGGTTCCGACGTCTCCTCACGTTCTTCTGGAGTAAGACAGCTGCGTCCAATCTGCATGGGCTCCTCTCGTGGTGGTGTCTCTTGTGGACGTGATGGAGAGGGGGGTCCCAGGGGAAGCCGTCTGGGCGCCTCTCTGGGTTCCTCAAGGGGTCTTGAGACTCTGCTGGATCTCTCAGCTCGTTCTCGGGATCTCTCCATCAAGCACAGATCCACCCTTGTCGCCAAATCCTCCAGGTCCTGCAGTGAGTCCGGGTATCGCTTGGTTGCCAGGTTGTCCTTGATCTCCTCATTAAGCCCTCGGTAGAAAGCATCAGTTAGTGCCTCTTCATTCCATTTACTACCAGCAGCAGTAGCATGAAAATCTATAATGTACTCTGTTACTCTTCATTTTCCCTGCTTCACTGTAAACAATCTACGAGCAGCCTCTCTTTCTGGGAGGATGAGGTCAAAAACTCTGCACAGCTCTTTTGAAAACTCATGAAATGAGTAGTAGTACCTTGAATCCTTTTGCCATTCTGATGTCCCCCAGGACTTAGCTTTTCCAGACAGGAGGGACACGGTATATGCCACCGTAGCACATTCAGAAGGGAAGGATGAGGGCTGGAGCTGAATCTCACATTGTGTTAAGAACGGACGGCACTGGTCCGGTGCCCCTGAAAACTGTTCTGGTGGAGCCAACCGTGGTTCCCGGAGTGGGTTACTCATGGTTCCAGCATAAGTAGGACTGCTGGCATGATTTGAGTCCTGAGGGTTAGAGTGAGGAGTTAGTGTCTTAAGCATGTTCATGATCTCATTCATGCTGTTCTTTAATTTACCGATGGCACCTTCCACACCAGAGCGCCATTCTGAGCACGGTGCAGAATCCATGCTTGGCCAGATCAATCTGTCAGAGATCTGATGGCAGAGGATCCTACACACAGACTCAGAAAGGTTTTTAAACTGTTTATTGAGTAAATAAACAGCTTCTGGTGTCTCAGGTCCAGGGGCAGGAACTGTATCTAAAATGATACAGAGGGGAAAGATTAGTGTTTGACAGAATAATGAGTAGTTATCTGAATACAGATGGTCTGATGAAACACTAACCTTTCTTGTTGTAACGGGACGCTTCAACGGAGACACAGAGCTGCAGAGACCAAGGGAAATCCAGAGGCGTAGTCGAGGATGAGCAGGGTTCATACACGGGATCAGAAGAGGAGACAGTACCGATAGGGAGAGGCAAAGGCAAAATCTAAAAACAGGCATAGGTCGTCAACAAGGTCAGAAGGCTGAGGCACAAAAGGGACAGGAAAAAACGTGGTCGAGGGAAACAGGCGTGGATCAAGATTAAAGAGCTGTGAACAAGGAGAGTACGCTGGATAACTGTGGCTGGAAGCAAGCAGTTGATCTGGCAATGTAGTGGAGAAAGCAGGAAGTATATATACACCCAGAAACAGGTGTAAACCATCAGCAGCTATCAGAGAGAGAGGTGTGGCATGTAAAGAGGCTGGTAGAAGCAGCAGAGGAAAAACCCAGGAGAGCAGCGAAGAAAAAGTCAAACAGTGAACAGAGTGATGAGAAAAGGAAAAAACGGAGTGTAAACTGTGACAATAACTTGCTGTTATTGCTAGTATCACTCAGCCCTCTGTTAATAGTAAGCGACCATCGGGGCATTAACAATCAGTCGTTAGGCTGACCGTCCTCCTTTTGCATGTGAACAATACTTTTGGCTGTCACCAGCAAACTGATTGATCCACTTTAAAAAAGTGCTGATTATAAGACAGAGATAAGAGTTTATTGCAGTTCCTCAGACTGAAGAAGTTTTTTGGTTAAAAGACAAAACATTTCAACAAGAACTATCCAGAGGACCTGACTTAACTTTGTTAGGTGACTTTTTAATGTTTTCCCAACCCAAAATATCAAGAGAAGTTTAGTCACCTAAAAAACCCAGCTATGTTGCACAAGAGATAGATCATGTGATGTATAGCTAAATAATTAAACCCAAATCCAATCCTTATTTGTCACTAGAAGCAAAAATTATTGCTTCTTCCAGAATTTCAGCCGCAGGGAAAGACTACTGTTCAGGATTTTGTAGCTACTAAGGCTGAAAATTGCAATCCTTTGAACATCTCATTTACCAACTGGAGAAGCACAGATGGTTTTAGACTTTTGAACCTAGAGGTGTCCATCATGGCCCAGCTAGTTTTAACATGTCATCTTACAATCAAAAAACATAGATAACTTTGTTAATTTCATTAGCATTTTAATGATTAAAATGTGAATAAATTCTTGTTTTCTGCCTTCAATTCTCCTGAATATTTCTCTTGTTTACATTTTCACACCTATGATTCCTGCTGCTCTCATGCTCTTCTTTGCTTTTTTGTGTGCTTAACAAACACAAGATTTATTGTTTTTTTTAAACGAGCTTCCACATTACTTATAATATAAAATTACACTTCTTTTCTTTCTCTTTTAACTGGTCTTAGCCAAATGCAAGACACTGGACTACTGTAAAAACATAATGCAGAGAGGATATGAGGAGTAAAAGATACCTCACGTTAAAATGAGATTATTATAGTAGATCAGATGATAAAATTTTTGTTCAAATATGCATAAAGATCCACTAAATCCTACCCACTGGCTCATTTTGGCATTTATTTACAAGTAAAATATTCATTTCAAGCTTTCATTTAACCTCAATGTTGTTTTCTGGCAAAATCTCTCTCTATGTCTCTATGTGTCTATCCTCAGGGGTACAGCTGACTGGTTCGGAGTGAGCAAGGACAGCGGCAGCACCCAGCGATGGAGGAGGAGGAGCCTGCAGCACTGCAGCCAACTGTACGGGGGTCTGAAGACGCAGGTGATGAGGGACATGGAGCTACACAGCCAGGACAATCTGTCCTTAGCCAGCACTGAGACCCCCCCTCCCCTTTACCTCTCGTCCCAACACCCTAATCATCACCACCATCCCTGTGGCATGCAGCGGGTAGGCCAGCACCTTGTGGTGGGGTGGTGGGTGGTCACAGCAGAGGGAAGAAGAAATAAACCTGTCTTTATTCTGTCACATTTATCTCCCTCATCCTTTCACCTTGGATTTGATGCTTTACTTTTCCTGTTTGCCTTGTCATCTCACCTGGGTTGTTACTTTATGTTTCTTTGAATATGTCTTTGAAGTTTCAACATTAGAACTTTCACTTGAAGTACTATTTATAGCAATTTTGTAACCCATTGTAGCATTGGTAGTACTGTAAACAGTACATTGTTGTCTAAGTAAAGGTTTTGGATTAAGCCTAAAAATAGATTTGTCTTATTGCAGCTCTGACCACTATATATCATTCCCTGGCAGCAACCATAATATTAACGTCTTGAACAAACTATTTGACTGAAGCTAATGTAATCATTTTAAGGTGGCTTCTGTTTCCTCCTGAGAAAATTTTAGTGTGACAGCTGGCAAGGTTTTACAAACACTGATTCAAAACGTCTTTATTGAACAACTCTGCCATCTCCCACAGTCTAACTATCCACAGCTTAAACTGAAAGGAACACAAACAATTCCAACATTTAAAGTGTCCATTGTCTTTGTCTTTTATATTTACTGGAGCTTACCTTCTTCAGTGTCACATTTAATTATCGTGCACATTATCCCAAAAGTGACTTAAATGTCCTAAACTTGGGACAGGGCTCTTAAAATCTCTAACGTGTCCTGGTTATTGGCACTGAAAGCAAATGAGCCTCCTTTTTTTATAACACTCACTTGCATTGAAACATTATTGAAATTGTAGGCAGAGCACTTTCATATTGCACCTGTATACAAAGGCCTCATGGGTAAAGGTAGTCTGTTACCACAGCTGCTCTCAAAACTAATCCTACCAACAACGCCAATGTTTCATTTATGAAAAGGGTTCTTTTTTCTTAAGTCAGAATGAGAAGGCAGAAGCAACCAAGGAATGACAGGGAATTAAAATATAACACAAGTTTACTACAAATGTCTTGAAGTAGATATGACATAATTAAAAAATAATGAAAGTAAAAGGTTAAAATGAACAATTTACACCTAAAACCAATATTTTTTTTAAGTAGTACTTAAGATTTCTAAACTCCCCTGATAATAACAAATAAAAAACTGAATGTGACAGCTCAGCCTAAATTAAGCAGGAAGTGGTTCAAGTCACAGCACATGATAAACATTCACACATCTACTGATATGTGAGAGAACAAGTGCACATAGTATTCAGGTATGTATTACTGAATGTACAGCAGCAGTTACCTAAAAGAAATGAACGTAACTTTTATTGAGACAGTAAAACTTTTAATAAAAACTGGCAGCTTTAATTGAGTATTTATTGATTTCAAGACTTTTTGGAAAGATGCAATCTATATAAGTTGCCTAAAATATAGGGGTTTAAAATTTAGCATTTCAAACAACTAAAGAAAAAGGTTTGTATGGTTCTTTTGATACCAGTGAACTTGCAAATTATGTTTATTTTCCTCTATAAAATCAAACTATGTTATAGTTTCTGTACTTTTACTGTTCCCTTAAGTTCAATCAGCTTTTACACAAAGCACCACTGAGTTAAAATATGATACTGGACATGATGCTTGTGAGCTGTAAAGTAAAATTAAAATATAAAACAAATATATCTGTTTAGTTGCATTTATATAAATTATCTTTAAACTACAGTACTTCATTAAGTAACTTTACAACAACAGTTTAACCCTGGTTGTGTTTCTCCTGCTTTTCACATAGCTGTATATGACATTTAAAAGGGTTTTGATGAAATACATTAAACATGGTGTGTGTTCTTGTGTCTGTGCAGATTGTAGACCCCCTGGCCCGGGGACGTGCCTTCCGCACGGTGGAGGAGGTGGACGGGGTCGGCGTCCCACAAACTCCCCTCACACCTGGCACCGCGTCCCTCTGCTCATTTTCCAGCTCCTGCTCCGCCCTCAACAGGCTGCCACGACGACGGAAGAGGGAGTCTGTCGCCGTCATGAGCATCAAGGCCGCAGCAGCACTAATGAAGGTGCTTTGGTTGTGTATTTACTTTAAGAACATACTGCACTTTGCAATATGTGCACTATTAACATCAGTACATGCAACACAGTCTAACTTAGTTGTCTCTAAAACACAGATTTCCCTGCAGGTAAATGTTTCCTCCGTCTTTGTGCATTAATTTCAGTAATAACTTCTCCAATCAATTATATTAAAACATTTGTTATTGATTCTGGGAAATCAACTCGTGCGCACATATTTTAATCTCCATAAAATAATCTGTGTATTCATATTTGCACATGCATGTCACGTAGAACATCAGATCAGCTTGTCTTTCTGGGGATTAAACTCTGGTGAAATATGTTGCAGTAGAGTATGGACGACCCTCTTTGTGGTTGCTACAGTATATGCAGATGTGTGTGTGTGTGTGTGTGTGGGGGGGGTGTATTGTGGGAGTTCCTCGTAGCAGATGGCTCATGGTGAAACAAAGCGGATGCTCAGATATTTCCTGGATTGAGACCAGAGGACTCCAGAAGAGCAGAGCTAATCCACAAACACACAGAGGCTGCTGCTGCTATGAAAACATCACACACCACAATTTGGAAAATGAGCTCTTTGTGGCTTTTTACTACTTCCACTAAACCACAGGTGTACTCAGAGGCTGTTATTATAATCTCAAGTGATAATGGCTGTAAAATAGTATCAGAGAAGAGGTTGGTGGGATTAAGGCTTTTCTCTAAACCAAATAAAATACCCACTGTTTGTTTCTTTCATAAAGTCATTTTTGAAAGAATTTTAAGCAGAAAATCAACAGCAAACTGTCGTGGAAAAAAGCAATTCCCAAAACAACCAGGCGTAAGCTTCATCAAATTCATTTACAAAGCTTTGGAAAGCAGCCATCAATCACAGAAGATCAACACATTTACAGGAACACACTTATCAATGCCTTCACCTATCTGAGGCTCTGACTTCCTGAACAGAAAACAAAAAATCAGTTTTGTAGACCTTCCAGCTGCCTCCCGCCCTGTCCAGCTGTTATCAAAACCCAGCTGAGTCCAGAGCGGGAGGAATCTGGGAGCCAGCAGCTCTCAAGGACTCTCCGAATTTACTTCACTATAATCATATCAATCACACCTTGAGGATAATAAAAACTATCTCTTGCTGTCCCTTCACTGACCCGTCACACCATGACTGATTATTACAAAACATTTTAATATTCACAATCACAGTTCAGAAGCAGTCAAATTTATGGAGCATGTTTAGTGCAAATAATACACATTCCCTCTACAAAACTTATTTGAATGATTATTACAACTAGTTTGTAGTTTGTCAAGTATTTATTGAATTGACTTCCCCAATATTTATATAAATTGCTGTTTTTTATTTTTACTTAGAACAGCTGCAATTCCTGAATGTTTGAAGCAGAGGTCTGGTGTCATTTGCTACATGACTCACTATCTGCAAATGTCCTCTCATTTTCCTTCATTTTGTCAATTTAATTTCAAACTTTTATATGGATAAGGACGTCCTGGCCCACATACATCAGAACAGACTGAAACTTGATACTACCATGTTTCCCAGTCAGGAAATACGATGATGGTAGTATTATGTTTTTAGTGGTATTAACTTAATTTTTGTTGTTCTGAGATTTTTTTTTCTTTTTTTCACTTGCACACATGTAAAAGGGGAAATATGAACAATCTGCTATCTACTCTGCTGCTCCTTTGTTATATAGGGCTTTTATTAATGATAATGTTCATGTTTCATTTTGTTTTTTAGGGTCGAACATTGGGCGACCGCACTGCCGGTCGACATCGCAGGCGGAGTTTCATGCCTCACAGTTTTTTTGAAGACGACACCATGGATTTTCCTGATGAGCTGGATACTTCCTTCTTCACCAGAGTGAGACTGCCGAGACAAAATTAACAGAATATATATCGCATATAGTTTTATTCAATTTTGAGCAATACATTCAAATTGAAAATCTTTTACTAATATGTAAACGTATTAATGTCCATCAAGTAAGCTGTGGTGGCTCGATGAATAAGTGTCATATTCTTGTAGCCCTGGGGTTGTCGGTTTAAGCCCACGTTGCATCAGGAAGGGTGTCTGGAGTAAAACCATTGCTAAATCTTTCATGCTAGTTCATTTGTGGTGTAAAGGGTAACCCTAACCCTAATCCTAACTAAATAGAAATTTGTCAGTTTGCTGGCTTTTTGATTCCATACCCTGCTCGGCTATCTTGAAGTGCATGCATCAAATAAATGAAACCACATCATATTGAATGTACAATATATGTATTGCATATTTTGTTTTAAATACCTGCTGACATAGTTTCCATATGTACAGGATGGCTTGCGGGAAGAGCTGTCCAGCTTTGCCGACGACGTTTTTGAGACGCCATCAGAGGCAGAGCTCCAACAACTGGATGAGAATGTGCTGACAGGAGGTGCACTGGATAGGAGCAAACTGGAGAGGAGTCATCTCATGCTGTGGGTTAATCGTTTAAATAACGAAAATATTCTGCACACATAACGGAAGAGAGCCACGTTTTAACATGCTATGTTTGATAACTTTTCAATGTCTTTTATTACTTGGGACTCTTTCCTTTTTTGCTCCAGGCCTTTAGAGAGAGGTTGGCGTAAAGCAAAAGATGGCTCTGTGGTCCAGGCCAAAGTTCGTCTAAAGCAGGAGGTGGTGAGTGTCAACAGCCGTCAGCAGCGAGGACAAAGAATCACAGTTCCTGTTAAAAAGCTGTTTGCTCGAGAGAAGAGGCCGTACGGGTTGGGCATGGTCGGTCGGCTGACGAATCGAACGTACCGCAAGCGCCTGGACAGCTTTGTTAAGAGGCAGATTGAAGATATGGACGACCACAGGTAGGACGTCCACCCTTTTTTCCTTTCTTTCTTTAAAAACTTCTTGTCTTGTTACTGGCTTTTTTTCTCTAATGCAACGGTAAATGAATAATAAAAAAGCCATGCTCTTGTCTCCAGGCCTTTTTTCACCTACTGGATCACATTTGTCCATCTGCTCATCACCATCCTGTCCGTCTCCATTTATGGTATTGCTCCCATAGGCTTCTCACAACATGAAACTGTAGACTCTGTAAGTATACCCCACACTTTTTATAATGGTTATACAGTGCGTTGCAATGCTATTCACCACTCTTGGCATTCCATTTATTTTCTTGCTTTTCGACTAGAATAATCCATTTTTGATAGAATTTGTAGATTATAACTTAGACAGCATAACTACAATTATTAAGAGTAACAAGATATTCACTATGAAACAAATGAGACAAATAAATAAATAGAACAGAAAACCTGATGGTTCATAACTATTCAACAGCGAGGTGTTTAGTGTTACGGTCCTGCTGGAAGGCGAAGGTCTCAAAATTCTGCTGAACTTAAACATGTAAGATTTTTTCCGTAATTTGCTCCATTCATTATTCCTTCAACTCTGACCAGTTTCTTTATCCCTGTCGATAAAAATCATCCCCACAGCATGATGCTTCCAACACCATGCTCCACAGTAGGGATGGTGTTCTGTAGAATTCCCAGAAACTGGCTTGAACACATGCAAAAAGGGCATCCATCTAAAACAATCAAGCATCATGCATAACAATCAAATGTTTTAGGCCAAATGGCCAGATGTCTGTGAATTCTATGGGAGGCTTGCTTGAAACACATCAGTGAGGGCTATTTATGGGACAGATCTGGTTTGGCAGACTGATGAAGTATTTCGAATGAAAGACGAACGTTTCTCCCGTAAAGAAACTTCAGGTCTCTCTTGTAAATGAGTCCTCGAGGCTCAGTGGGATTAACCTGTCTAAATAAAGGTTGAATGAACTTTTCCAGATGACACGATTTAACCTTTTTTGTTTTTATCTACCTGGAATATTGAGCTTACAAACCTTTTACAATAAAGTTACCTTGAACCTTGAACCCTTGTGTTCTCCACATGATGAGAGCTGTTAAGTTTGTTTTAGACATAATGTTATCTGTGATGGTCAGAATGGTCGTTTTAGTCTCATCTGACCACAGAAACTTCTTCCAGTTTTGGGGGGAACCCCCAATATGCCTTTTGGCAAACCTGTCTCATTATATTCTTTAAGGTACCGCTTCTATAAAGCCCAGCTCTGTGCAGTTTTAAATGATTTTATCAACACCTCCATCAGGTTATCGCTGTCTCCTTATAGTTTTCTTTGACTAATGTCCACCTTGCTCTGCTTGTATGTTTTGGTTGATGACTGTCTCAAGGCAGGTTTCCTGTACTGGCATCATTTTTCATTTTTCTAATGATCTACCAAATGTTCAGAGTTTGGAATATGTTCTAAGAACTTTTTGGGATATTTTCTAAAAGACGTACCTCACCACCACTTTGTCTCTGACCTGTATGGAGAGTTTCTTCGTCTTCACGTCTTTTCTTGCTTGGTGGTAGCTCCTAAAAGGTGTTTCTCTCCCGATTTCACTTCATCAATCTGGAAGACTTTGTGTTGGTCTGTTCCTTATAATCAAATAGAAAATCCATCTGTAAGGTCCTAAAATATGTGACCGTAGTGGTGTTTACTATTGCAAATCACTGTATAATTGTATGTTAGTTTGATGTGAATGTTGTTTGTTTTTAATAATTTCAGTCATATTTTTTTCTTTAAGGTGTTGAGGAATAAGGGAGTTTATGAAAATGTTAAGTTTGTACAACAACAGAACTTCTGGGTGGGTCCAAGCTCGGTAAGTATTGACAATGCTCAATCTATTCTTCTCCATCTCTAAGAGCTGTTGTTACTATTTGCTGGCTTGAGGAGTGGGTTTTTATTTGATGCTTTTAAGGAAAAATGTTAAACTTAGTATCCTGATGCATGCAAACTTAGTATGTTGTACTTTCTGTAAATAGACTTGATTAACAAACAGCAGCTCGAAACGTTCTTTGGAGACTTCTTTGCAATTCATACATGTTCGTTTTTATAAAATGAATTGTTTAACATTCATTTCTCACGAAGATCTTGTTTCACCAGTGGAATATTTATTGGATAAGAAACTGGTACTTTGCATCCCTGGCTTGTTTGTTGATGGCGTTCTGGCTGTCCTGCAGGAGGCGTTGATCCACTTGGGAGCCAAATTTTCTCCTTGCATGCGTCAAGACGAAGAGATCCACAAACTGACTCAGGAGAAGAAAGCGAGAGAGCGAGAGTCGGGCTGCTGTGTGAGGAACGATCGCTCTGGCTGCCTGCAGACGTCACAAGAGGAGTGTTCAGTGAGTGAAAACAGGTTTTACCGTCTCACAGGGGTTAATATTTTCTCATTATTTCAGGCACGATTAAAAACACGTTTTGTCACGGAAATCAAGCTGCAAAGAGAAAAGTCTATATGTTTAAGCAAACTGCTATCTATCCAATTCCTTGATGTGTTTTTTTTTCTGTCTTTGACTGCAGAGCACCCTGGCAGAGTGGGTAAAGTGGCCCCAGCACCCCAGTGCTCCATATTTAAATGGAAACCTACGGCAGCATGGTGCGGTCTGCCATCAGGACCCCAGGTAACATTTAACTGCTGCTTGTTTCACCAAAACACTGAATTTGTATCACAGTTTCCTTCAGGAAAGTAGCTACAGCTGCAGTTTTATTTGTGTTTGTTTACTTTGACTTTTCTTGATTTTGTAGAATTTGTCAGGAGCCAGCCTCAGTTTCACCTCACGAGTGGTCTGATGACATCACACGGTGGCCGGTTAGTCACAGTCACAGCAGTTGAAACACATACTGAATGATTTTATGAGTGTTACTCATAGCAGCAAAACTACTAAATTCTGGTTTTTTAACATGGTTGAAGAAAAATTGACATAATTGCTGAAGCAAACAGTAAATCAGGGGTTTCCACAGTCATGGAAAGTACAAAATTCGGTTTTAGTATATTCCAGGTCTACATTTAAATATTAATAATAATTAAGTACAAAGTACTCTCCTTTTTTCAGCTTTTGTTGTGGTTAACAAGCGCAACAGTCTCCATGTAATGTTGCTCTGTAGATCTGCACAAGGTTCAACTTTGGGAATCACACCAACCTTCCACACATAGACTGCACCATCACTGGCCAGCCGTGCTGCATCGGGACCAAAGGACGGTAAGACTCTGCTACACAGCTTTTCTTGTAAACATTGTCATACGTCATTTTTAATGACAGAGAAGAGAAGCTCACATTGTTATAGATGAAACCACTGTGTACTATGATTTAGATAAGTGACTGTAAGGTAAACAGTCTATTTCATGTTTCAGATGTGAAATCACCTCCAGAGAGTACTGTGACTTCATGCACGGCTACTTTCATGAGGAGGCTACACTCTGCTCACAGGTAGGACAAACTGTGATATCTGTTGCTTTTTATTGAGGTGGTGTATTTAAAACAACCCTCCAGGTGAGGCTAGAAGTCACAACCTCAGCATCGCTCTGTAAGTTACTGTTTTATAAGTACTGCGCGTTGACCAGTTGCACCACTGGAGCCAGAGCCATTTTACTGAAGACCATGGGTTGTACATTGGTGTTTTTGTCCACTAGGGAGCAGTTCATTTGAGTGATAGCACAGTTTTTCATATGATTTTCTCTATGTCTTTTAGGTGGCCTGTATGGACGATGTGTGTGGACTGCTGCCTTTCCTCAATCCAGAGATCCCTGATCAGTTTTCCCGGCTGTGGCTGTCTCTGTTTCTTCATGCTGGGTGACTGAACTTATTGTTAGCCTCAGAACACTGCTTTTTAAAGTAAAAATGGAAGAGAACTGTGAATTGTACAATCAATTTATATTGTTAGGTGCACTGTTAGTTCAAAAAGTTTTCTGAACCCCCTTGACTTTTTGTAATTTTGCTAAGTTTCAGCTTGAAAGAACAATCATTTATTTAATTTTACCCATTAATCTACACTCGTAGTGTACCTCAAAATGAAAAAGTGAAGACAGAATGAATAAAATGGGAATTTAAAAACAATAAATAAACATTACAGAAACTCAGCATTTATCCACTGACTGAGTGAGCAATAAGTCTACTTCACTCTGGATTGACATAGAAAGTTCTATATCTTACTGTCCATTGAAATCTTTGCTCTTCCTAAATAAAGCAAAAGCCTGTACATCTGTCTGTACCAATCCAGTTACATTAGTCACAGCTAAAGCGTGGCAGACAATCAGAAAACTAGAGGGCAGGTCACAAACTACTTCTGGTTTCACCCCAATATATGACAACCCTGACTTCTTTCCTGGGACACTAAATTTAAATAAGAGTTCCTTGTATTTGTTACTTGAAATAACTGATCCTGTTATCAGTGACAAATATAAAAGAAAGCTCTACAGAATGATAACTTTCTGTGCTGGACAATGCCTCGTCCTGAACTGGATACCTGAAAGAATCCCCTCCAAGACACAATGGCAGAAAGTTATACTCAACTATGTTGCTCTTGATTATTTGACATGCCGACTACAATATGATTTCTTTATTAACCTTTATTTAACCAGGCAAATCCCACAGTGAGATCACAGATCTCTTTTGCAATGGAGGTCTGGACCTGAAGGCAGCCTAACATGCATGTTTTTGGTCTGTGGGAGGAAACCGGAGTACCCGGGGAAAACCCATGCAAGCATGGGAAGAACATGCAAACTCCACACAGAAAGACCCCAGGTCCAACCGGGGATTGAACCCAGGACCTTCTTGCTGTGAGGCAACAGTGCTAACCACTGAGACATCATGCTGCCAGAACGCCAATATAAAATGGTGTTTTTTGTGAAAACATGGAAACCTCTTTTGTCATATCTTGGAATTAATAATAACACAATTCATTCATTCAACCTTTATTTAAACAGGTTAATCCCATTGAGCCACGAGGACTCATTTACTGTACAAGATAGACCTGGATTTTAACAAAGAGTGATGACAACAGTGGATAACAACGACAACAATAGACATTCACAAACTTTTGTATCATAGTACTGTTAATGTATATGGTCTTGAATTGTACAATACTCATTCTAGGTGTTGTTTCCTTTTAGTTTTCTTTTTTTCTGTGCATGCAGCTAACAACAGATTGTGACTCCCAAATGTGTTTATGGCCAAAGAGAAGGAAATTAATGAAATTCAGCTCAGCATTTTTGGGATCTCTAAGATGTTTCTTGACCTTGATTGCGATCCACCTGTGTAAAATAAATTGGACATAATTTAGAAAGACATGCCTCTCAATATAAATGTTCCAAGCTAAGAATCAGAGCAAAACCCCGAGTCATGAGGTCAAATGAACTGTCAATACTATCCTAGCAGTGAAGCATGGTTATGGCAGCATCATGCTGTGGGTGTAAAGAACTCACAGACAGGATTATTGCTGTTGGACTAGAAAAGGCTACAAACACTTCTGTTACACTCAATTTTCAGTGCTCAGTGGCCTTTATGATTCACAAATTGATGAAACAATTCAGTTTATCTATATAGCACCAATTTACAACAAACTTGTCTCAGGGCACTTTACAAAAACATTCATGTACATAGAAAAGCCAATTAGTAAAGTTCTCTATCTAAGGAATCCAGCAGACAAGTTGAATCTTCAATTCATCGCAGTCTCCCATCCTGAGCAAGCACAAAGGGAACAGTGGAAAGGAAAAACTCCCTTTAAACAGGAAGAAAGGTCCAGTAGAACCAGGCTCAGGACAAGCGGCCATCTGCTTCGACCGGCTGGGTTTGAGAGGAACAGGAAGGAGAAAAAAATGAACACAGAATGGCAGGTCCAGGTGTAGGTGCAGGTGTACCTGAAAGACAAAAACACATCAAGGATAGAAAAAAAAATTACAAATACAAAACAGGTTGAGCAGAGTAAGTAAAGACAGTAGCATTGTGAAGAAATGAGGTCAGTTTGTCCTCCAGCAGTCTAAGCCTATAGCAGCATAACTAAGGGACAACTCAGGAAACCCAACCCAACCCTAACTATAGGATTTATCAAAAAAGAAAGACTTAATCCCAGTCTTAAAACTGGATAATGTGTCAGCCTCATGGACAGAAACTGGAAGTTGGTTCCACAAGAGAGGAGCCTGATAACTGAAAGATCTTCCTCCCATTTTGTTTTTGGAAACTCTAGGAACCACAAGTAAACCTGGAGCCTGAGAGTGAAGTGCTCTGTTAGGAAAATATGGAACAATAAGATCTGTAATATAAGATGGAGCCAGGTTGTTGAGAGCTTTGTAGGTTAGAAGTAAGATTTTGAATTCAGTTCTGGACTTGACAGGGAACCACTGGAGAGACACTAAAACTGGAGAAATATGATCTCTCCTACTAACTCCAGTTAAAACTCTGGCAGCAGCATTTTGGATCAGATGAAGATGTTTTAAAGAAGTGAAATGATGTTTTGCCATGCCATGCTGAGCAGTCAAGGGAGAAGGTTGTGAGTGAGAGGCAACCAAGAACCTGATGTTCTTGCTGAGCTTCAGAGATCCTGAGTGGAGATGGGACCAAGTTCCAGAAGGACAAGCAGAGCTGTACACCTCTACAGATCTGGGCTTTATGGCAGAGTGTCTAGTTGGAAGCCTGCTTGAAGGACTCTCAGACTGTGATGGGCAAGATTCTTTACGCTGATACAATCAACGTTGAACAAAACCAACACCATCCAAACAGTGAAGCGTGATGGTGGGAGCATCAGGCTTCGGCATCAGGCACTGGGAACCTGGTCAGGGTTGGAAAAAATATATAAATGAAGCAAAGTACAGTGAAACCTTCAAACCTGTTCCACAGAACTCAAGACTTCTGACTGGATCCAAGGTTCATCTTCCAGCATGACATTAAGAAGCCCTAACAATGGTCCAGATCCAACCTGACTGAACTTGAGAGGATTCAGAAAAAATGTCAGAAAATTTTCCGATTCAGATATGGAAAAAAAAAAAAACGTGACAAACATCCTCAAAAACTCGAGGCTGAAACTGCTTCCAAAGATGCTTCAATTCAATACAAAAAGTCTGAATATTTATGTCAATGTGATTTTTCAGTTTATTTATTAATTTTTTTTAGATTTTCTATTTTTTTCAAATATGTTATGTTAATTTGTAGTGAGTGTAGAGTACTGGGGTAAATGTTAGTTTCAACAATTTCACAATTGGGCTGCAATGTTACAAAGTAGAATAAACGAAGGGGATTTGAAAACTCTTATCCGCTGTAGATACTATTTTCAGTCTGTGTCGCTGCAGGATCCTGCACTGCCTGGTGTCTGTGCTGTTCCAGATGATGGTACTGAGAGATTTAGAGAAGCTGGCTGGCTGGCTCAGAATCTCCATCATCTACATGCTGAGTGGCATCGCTGGCAACTTGGCCTCGGCCATTTTCCTGCCGTACAGAGCAGAGGTAAAGCCATCAGCTGACATCAGCCTGCATGGTGTCAGTGAGCTTAACAGAGCTGTATAATCTGTGTTTTGTTCTTACTCCAGGTGGGTCCCGCAGGCAGCCAGTTTGGCATCCTGTCCTGTCTGTTTGTGGAGCTGTTTCAGAGCTGGCAGATCCTTGAGCGACCGTGGCGAGCATTTGCAAAACTGTTTGCAATCTCCGTCTTCTTCTTCTCCTTCGGTCTGCTTCCTTGGATCGACAACTTTGCTCACATCTGTGGTTTTGTGTCGGGATTCTTCCTGTCCTTTGCCTTCTTGCCATACATCAGGTAGGTGAAGAAAATCATTTATTGTTCCTGAGTGTGTAAAGATCAGTTAACAGACAGTCTGTAACTTCTTCTTCTTTTTTTAAATGCCTCCAGCTTTGGGCGCTCTGACCTGTATCGAAAGCGAATCCAGATCTGTGGCTTTCTGCTGGTCTTTCTGGGTCTGCTTTCCACTCTGTCCGTCCTCTTCTACGTGTACCCTGTGAAGTGCGACTGGTGCGAATACCTCACCTGCATCCCGATAACAGACAAGTTCTGTGAGAAATACGACTTAAATGCACACCTCCACTGAAGACCTGTTGCTGTAATGTCAGAGATGGTTGAGCTGTTCTGTCATGTGAGGATGGAGGTGCTAACTGGACTTGGAGCTGCAGAACAGTTTGGAGCTGAGTAGGAACAATTCTTATGGCACAGCCAACAGCTAGTCAGGATCAGTACAAATTACTGAGCTCCAAATGTATTGGAAAGACATAGGAGAGCCCTATGTCTTTCCAATACCCTAACCCTAACCCACTGAGAGGAAATTCTGCACAAGAAGGATATTTAAACACTTGCACAGAAACAAGTAGATAAAAAAGAAGTTTGTTGAGAAAGAATACTGACTTGTGGCTGCTCAGTGACTTATATGGATTTTTTTTTTTGTCAATTTAAAACTGATGTCATATCGTCCCTCAGTGGCCAAAAGAGACATTACAGTTTCAGAAGAGAAGAGGGTTTTTAAATTTTGTATTATTCTTCATCAGTGTTCAATTTTGTACGTTGTGTCTTTAAACTCACAAAGAAGCAAAGCTCCAAAATACGTTAGTGTGCCTTAAAGACACTCACAGTCACTCATACATGTTGTCTTGTATAAGAACACACACACTGTGTTGAAATACTTGTACTTTTACAAGACAAACTCCTGTAAAAACGTTTTTACTGCAGTATTTAGTGGCTGCATTTGTTTACTATAATGGAAACTCATCAGCTGTAGCTTTTTCTACACTTTACTCACAAATGACTTATTTTTTTACATTCATCCTGTAAATAAAACCCTTGAAGTTGAGCCTGTTTAATTATGAATAAGTTGTAAATTGTATACTTGTGTGTGTGCTTTTTAATTAAAGCTGGTAGCGTTTTAGCTACTTAATAAAACAAAGTTTGTTGATGTAACTGCCTGGTGACAGAAAAGTACCTCTGATTGTCTGACTGTCAAAGATTTGTTCTTACTTCTAACAACAAACCAAATCATCCAGACGAGGTCTGAACTCACAACCTCAGCATCCTTATGACCTACTTTCTTTTCAAATACCTCATAGTTTTCTTGTCAAATGTGGCATACCCTAAAACTGATAAACTGGACAAACCACAATACTGCTACCTAGTGGTGTAGTCTACATTTTTGTACAGGGTATACTATACCATACCATACCATACCAATTTATTTATATAGCACTTAAAACAGCAACAAGGCCAACCAAAGTGCTGTACAAAAGAACCAAACATGCACAGCAGACAGGAAAACATAAAATAGAAATACATATACAAATAGCAGCAGAAGCTAACTAAAATGGCCAACAGAGTAGAGAACAGACCGGACCAAAACAAATCACACCGTGTTAAAGGCAAGCGAATAGAAGTGGGTCTTCAAGCGAGACTTAAAGACTGAGAGTGTGGGAGCCTGCCGGACACTCAGTGGCAACTCATTCCACAGTCGTGGACCTGCAACAGAGAAAGCCCTGTCACCTCTGAGCTTACGACGGGTTTCTGGGACTGAGAGAAGCATCTGGTCTGCTGACCTCAGAGAGCGCGGTGGGACATATGGCTGCAGAAGATCAGTGAGATAGGATGGGGCGGAACTGTTCAGTGATTTAAAAACATACATGAGAATTTTGAAATGGATCCGAAGGTGAATGGGTAGCCAGTGCAGGGAGGCCAAAACTGGCGTGATGTGCTCTCTATAGCCTGTACCAGTTAAAAATCGGGCTGCAGCATTTTGGACCAGTTGTAGACGAGCAATGGAGGACTGACTGATTCCAAACAGAAGTGAATTGCAGTAATCAAGCCTAGATGTTATGAAGGCGTGGATCGCTGTCTCGAGGTTCTTTTTGGAGAGTATAGGCTTCAGCTTAGACAGCCGTCTCAGCTGAAAAAAACAGGATTTGACCATCATGTTTACGTGACTGTTGAGTTTTAAGGACGGGTCCATTATCACCCCCAGATTAGTCACCTTTTGTTTCTCTAGCGGGGCTAGAGAGAAAAGGTCAATGTCATGGTTCATGAGTGAGCCACTGGGATGGAACAGCATGACTTCAGACTTCTTCTCATTGAAGCTTAAGAAGTTTAAAGCCATCCAGTCCCGGATGTCAGCCAGGCAGTCAAGAAGAGGCTGAATAGAGCGTGTGCCTCTGTGCCTCAGGGGGAAGTAAATTTGGCAATCATCGGCATAGAAATGAAAGGGTATGTCGTGTTTGCGGAAGATAGCACCTAGTGGCAGCAGGTATAAAGAAAAGAGAAGGGGACCGAGGATGGACCCCTGCGGTACCCCCCACTGGAGTGCGGTCGATGCTGAACTAAGATCTTTGATATTGACACAGAAGGTTCTGTCAGAGAGGTAGGACCCAAACCATTTAAGGGCTGACCCTGTGATGCCCACCCACTGCTCCAGTCTAGAAATGAGGATGTTGTGGTCGATGGTGTCAAAAGCAGATGTAAGGTCCAATAGGACAAGCAGCACAGAATCACCTGCGTCTGTGGATATGAAAATGTCATTAAAAACCTTCAGTAGAGCAGTTTCAGTGCTATGGAGAGATTTGAAGCCAGATTGGAATAACTCAAGGATAGCGTGATCCCCCAAAAACTGTTTCAACTGAGACTCCACAATTTTTTCCAGTAGTTTAGAGGTGAATGGGAGTCTGGAGACAGGCCGGAAGTTGGACATGACTGAGGGGTCAAGGTTAGGTTTTTTCAGGAGGGGCTGGACAGCAGCATGTTTAAAAGTCTTTGGCACCACACCTGAGGATAAACTGCTATTCAGAATAGCGAGGATAAAAGGACCCAGGGTAGGAAAAACTTCCTTTAGCAGTCGAGGGGGGACCACATCAAAGGGGGAACCAGATGGCTTCATGCTGCACATTACCTGCTCCAGAGAGGACAGAGAGATGGGCTCAAAGTGGTCAAACACAGCCACACACTGAGAAGGGATGGACAGATCATGAGCTGGTGGAGAAATGAGTGCCCGGGTGTTTGCCACTTTTTCTAAAAAGAAATGGAGGAAGTTCTCACACAGCTCAGTTGAGGCTTCCAGAGGTGAAGGCTCACTGAGGTGTAGAACTGAGTTCAGGGTGGAGAAAAGAACTCGGGGGTTGTGGGAGTTGGAGACAATTAAATCAGAACTGTGCTTAGAAACTGAAGTACACCAGTTAGTACAATGTAATTATCAATTTATTTTGATTTTTAAATATATTGAACATTTCAAAATTTCTCTGATGCTTATATATGAATAAATGTACAACAAATTTTGTACAACAGTTGGCTTTGTATTAAAAATATGTTATATAATTTATAAAACTGTATCAAAGGAAAACATGTTCAAGTATTAAGTAATAAGTACAGAAGTATTACTTATATAAAAAACAGGTTGAAGCAACTCAATCTGTCTATAAAATGTACCTAATGTGTTGACATTGACACATGCCCAATATGTCACATATCATCGGACACTTAATCCCAAGCTTTTCTAATGGATATACTCTGTATACCTGTGTATCACATAGACTATACCACTGCTGTCACCACAATGCTACTGTAGCAATAAGAAGGTTTGAGATGGAGGAAGAAGGGTGACACTTTCTCCACTCCCCTGTCACTACATTTGTTTTTATTTATTTAGCTCTCGTTAAAGCGGGGCACCAGCTGGTCAGTTTACTGACCAACAACAACTTAATTAATATATTCACCCTTTAATAATCAGAATCAGTCACTGAAGTGGAATCCGTTAATTACAGAGAGTTCTAGACCATAACATTAACCATAACGTTCAGATGAATATTCAGAGACCAACGTTGTCTTTGAAGTTTTATTACAAAAATGATCAAAATAAAAATCAACAACAATAATAAACAAACAATAATAATGAATCAATGAAGGCTTAATTCTCTTATCTAAGGCAAAATTGACTCTTTGAGCTGGAATTATTTCAGTTTTATGTGTGCATGAATTTAGACAAAGTTTGACTATTTTAATAAATAGTTTACTTTGGATTTTGGTTGAAAGAAGTTATTTAATGTGATCAGATAAAGTCATTTATTATCACTGCAAACCAGGAAATGATTGACCAAGTTGCATCAGCTAAAAATTGCATAACCAGACCAAGGCATCATGTCACCAGTTTCTGCTCCTTACCGGATCAGTGTTGAAGACATCACTCGTCTTTCTGGGGTTCTGTGGTGGATCTGACCAGAGACACCATGAGGAGGACTCGCTGGGAACTGCACAAGGTAGCTGAACGTCACTGTGACAGCTTCAGGGGTCTGTGAGGGCAACAGCTGATGAGAAGGTGAACCGTCCATCGGCACCTTCTGCAAATTTGAACTTCAAGCCAAGAACGTGAGTCTTGCAGTGAGAAAAGGCTTCATCTTCTGCAGTTAGTTAAACCTCTAACAATTGTAATTTGAACGGCATGTTTATCTGCTCAGAAGTTGAACGAGTGGATCTTGGCACGACCTCTAGGATCGGGAGTCCAACGATGAACCGCTCAGTTCGGGGGTCCAAGGCGACCTGCTTTTCACACAAAGAGACTTTGTGCAAAACAACAGCTCTGAGGAGATTATTTTGACTACTCTCAAGGACGTTGTGACTTCCCTCTGAAGAAAACAGCTTCCAGCTTCAAGAACATTTTCACAGGTGTCTCTAAAGGTGTAATCATTTTCTGAAAAACAGAACAGAGGAATATATTATTCACATTGTAATATTTCACATGATTTCTTTATAATGATTGAAAACAACAATCAAAATTATTCATGTTCACACTTTTTAATCAAATAAAACAAACTTCATCAATGATTTGTTTTTCTTTTTTAGAAACAGGAAGAAATAAGATAAATATTAGTCAGACTGTAGATGATGCTGTGTCCAAGGACAGGAAATGTGTGGAAAAACATCAGACATTATTGAAGTCAAATGAATCTTTAAAGAACTCGATTCATGGTGAGTAAATCTGTAGAACTCTGTTTTCCTAAAGAACTATTATTTTTGTTCTAACCATGTTTCCTTTAACTCCCACCAGTTTCCCATTCCATACTAATGACAAACATTCCCACAGCATGATGGTGCTACCACCATGCTTATCTGTGAGGATGGAATTATTAGCATTATGAGAGGGGGTATTTCTGTCTCTGACATGGTGTTGTCCTTAAGGACCATTAAGTTAAACTTTAGGCTGATGTGACCACAGCACCTTCGTTCCTTCAAGAAAGCCTTTCGCTAATGGGAATTGTGGGAAACAAAAATATTACAAAAAGGGCAAATACCTCTGCGGATATCAGCCAGCTAAGTGCTAGAGGAGGGAATGAAACACAAAACCTCAGAAGGGCTGAAGAGGT